TGGGATGCTCTGAAAATGCCCTGCATGCAGGTCCTGCAGGGTTTGGAGCTCCCTTGGCACGGAGAGGAGACCTATCCTCCTCCCCTTGGCAGCACTGCCAGCAGCCTGGTGCCCTACTGCAGCTGTAAGGCTGCTGGAAGGGGATGGCCCTGCAGGGCCCAGCCTAAGGGGCAGAAAACAAGGATGATGAAAGATCCTTGGCTCTTGCGTCTGAGGGGACATCTCAGGGATCACTCACTGGCCTGGGAGCTGGCAGCTTTTTCAGGAAGCCTCTTTAGGATGGCCCATGGTACTCAAGCAGCCTGGGAATAGTGCTGCTTGAACAGCCTGGAGGGGTCGTGGTCAAGTGACATGGTCCTGTTTGAGCAATATGGGATGGTTCTGCTCCAGCTACATGGGATGATCCTGCCCAAGCAGCCTGGAGAGGTCCTGCTTGAGCAGTTTGGGATGCTGCTGATCAAGCAGGGTGGGATGATCCTGTTCAATCAGCATGGGATGGTCCTGCTGGAACAGCATGGAATGGTCCTGCTCAATCAGCATGGGATGGTCCTGCTGGGGTGGTCCTGCTCAGGCAGCATGGGATGGCCCTGCTTGAGCACAGTCGGATGGTCCTTGTGGAGCATGGGATGGTCCTGCTGGAGCAGTGTGTATGGTGGGTCTGCTTGAGCACCATGGAGCAGCTGCAAGTGGCAGGGATAGTTCTTCATGTCCTACAGCATCCCAAGCAATGCATTCAAAGCCATTCCTGGCCTTTCTCGCCCCTCTTGGATATCCTTCACCACTGGACGTGATCTTAGGGGAATCTAGTCAAGCTCCATGTTCCACACCAGTTATTGCTAATGTTAGATTGGGACATTGGTGACTTTATCTGGCTGAGACCTTTATCTGGTTACTGAAACCTTCCAAGGGCAGAGGTCATCCCCTTTTCCCCATGACCAGTTCCAGCTGCACTAGCCCTAGGGAGAAGTGTTTTCTGAATTCAGGAAGGGCCCTTCCTGTGTACATCAGGGGTGGCTGAGCTGGTAGTGGCTTTCCTGGGTTGGTAAGGGATGGGATATAAGGCAGGAGAAGCAGGAAGGGAAGCAGAAAATTGTAGCTGGAGTCAGATGTGCTGGGAGTAAAAGAGTGCAGGAAGGAATGGGAGAGGTCAGGCTGGGAGAAGATTGGAAGTCAGGACAAAGGTAGGAGATGAAGGAGAATGTAAGGACAGTTAGAGAGGGAGCTGTGAGGTAAGGAAGGATGGCTGGAGGTCAGGGAGGGGTGGAGAGGGAAATCTGTGAGGTTGGTGGGACACTTAGAGGATAAAGAGGGATAGGAATGTGGGGAAAAGTAGAGGAGCATAAGGAGAAACAGGGACAAATTTGGGAGGCAAACGACAGAGGATGGTGAGATAGCCAGATGTCGAGTGTGAGAGGGACAGGGAAGAGGTGAAACTGCAAGAAAAAGTATGGGGAACAATGGGAAGTGAAGGGTCACAGGAAGGACTGAGGTGGAGGAAGAAGTATGAGATGGAGGATGACAGAGATGGAAGATGGTGGAAAGGACAATATGGGGAGGATGAGGAGACTGGGCAGATAGTAGGAAGTGGAGGGTGAGGAAGGACAGGCAAATGGTGGTGTGGGGCGTGAGGAAGGATGAAGGACAGTGGGAAGTGGAGGATGAAGAAGGTGGACAAAATCAAAGAGGAAAACAAGGAGAGATTAGATGGTAGGTGATGGAGGAAAAGATGGAGGGGAGATGAAGAGGAGAGATGAGGAAACACTGGGACATGGACATAGATGACAGAAGAAACAGAGAGACACTAAGGGGACAGAAGAAGACAAAGACTGGAGGGCAATGGAGGAGAATGAATGAGAAGGTGGGAAATGGATAAGCACAAAGAAGGGATTGGAAATGTGGAGGTGGAGAAGGTAAGATTGGGTGACATTAGCAGTTGAAAGGATGGTGAAATGGTGGGAGGTGAGGATGGATTTTGGGATGGGGAAGTGAAGTTGGGAGAGGAGATAGGAAGAGAGAAGAGGATGAAGAAAGACGTGGAGAAGATGAGGAGTGGAGGAGGTTGGGGTGAAGGTAGGAGCTAATGGAGAATAAGCAGGGATAAACTGATGGTAAGAGGTAGAGGACAGTGGTGGGGGGAGCTGAAGAAGACAGTGAAATGTTGACATGAATATGAAAGGAAAAGCTGGAGGCAAAGCAAAGCAAGGATGGATGGGGCAGGGTGAAGGTGAAGAAGGAAAAAACATAAGAAGAAGGTGGTGGTGAATGAAGGCAAGGAACAGGATGTGGTGAATGAAGGTAAGGAACAGGATGTGGTGAATGAAGGAGCAGGTCCGAGGGATGGGATGAAAGTGTGGCAGGAAGACTGGAGGGTGGGATATGGAAGGCAGTGGAGGAGCACAGGAAGGAGGGGTGGGAGTGGTGGGTGCCAGAGGAGAACAAGGAGGGATAGGATGCAGTGGAGGATGCAGGAGCACAAGGGGGTGGGAGGGGACATGGTGGGTAATGGAGGAGCACAGCATGGCAGGGAGGGATGTGACACAGCTGATGACAGCACACTGGAAGGAGTGGGGAAGGAGGGAGGGGATGTGGAGGGAGTGGGGAGAACGGGGAAGGATTGGAGGTGGTGAGTGACAGTAGAGCACAAGAAAGGATAGGACACAAAGGAGGATGCAGGACAGGAAGGAGGGACATGACATGGTGGCTGATGGAGGGGCACAGAAAAGAAGGATGGAACCTGGTGGGTGATGGAGGAGGGTGGCAGGGAAGGATGGGACACAGTAGATGACTGCAAGGAGGGATGGGTGAACAATGGAGGAGCAGTGGAAAAAGGTTGGGACATAGAAGATACACAGGAGGGATGGAGTATGGTGGGTGGTGGAACATGGGAAGGAGGAATGGGATAGGAGGAAGCACAGGAAGGAGGAAAGAGGGCTGGGCTGGGTTAGGATTGATGAAAGAGCACAATAAAGAGGGATGGAACAAGAACAGGGATGAAAAGGATGGGACATGAAGGATGATGGAAGACCAAAAGAAGGAGGGTGGGTTTTGGTGGGTCATGGAGGAGCTCAGGGTGGGACAGTTTAATGGAGTGAAGCTGAGGGGAGGATGGGACCAGCAGGTGATCAGGGAATCACAGAATCATTAAGGTTGGAAATGATCTCTGAGATCGAGTCCAACTGAGGGGCACAAGGGCAGGGAGCCATGGGTAGCAGAGGAAGGGGATGTGGGTGTGTGTGCAGGCTGCGTTGAGCTGCTGGGCAGGCTGGCATGGCACATGGCAGCTGTGAGAAACACCAGCATCACAGGGACAATGCAGAGCTGGGGGCAGCCTGGTGTGGGGTGACAGTGCTGGCAGTGAGGACCCACGGGAGCTGACAAGGAGCCCTGCTGGTGTGGCACAGTTGGGTGCAGCACATGGGGATGGTGTCAGGGACAGACAGGTGGGTGAGGAGAGCATGGGACACCATGTGTGGGCTGGGCAGCAGGCAGGAGGGCAGGAACAGAGGCACAGGATCATGTCACGCCACACCCCCCTCTGCAGCAGCACTGCCCCAGACAGGACAGGCAGCATGGCCCCCACACCACAGCACGGGAAGGCAGCACCAAGGGTGGGGGTGAGGGGTTGCAGGGCCTTTATTCATCACACAACAAGCAGGCATGACACAGGGGTGCGGGATGGGGTGGGCAGAGAGCTGTCATCGGGGCAGGAGGTGCCCTTCATGCGACCTTGGCATGGGCTGGTGAGAGGAAGCAGGAGGACAGGGCAGGGGCAAACAGCTTTACCCAAAACACCTCAGGTTTCACCCCAGGCTGGGCACTGGCATGTGGACAGGGGCAGAATCCATGGAGGGGCTGGAGTAGAATCAGCCACCTCCACACCTTAAGGAAATTTTCCCCACAAATTCCTTGCCGGCCTCATCTCAGCCCCCCTAGGAAATGCCCAGCACCGCTATTTACAGAGTAAGACAGAACTGACCAATATTACAAATAATTAAAAGGCAGTTTTAAAAATGAGAAACCACATTCCAAAAAGTAGAGAGTCTTTTAAAAAAACCAAACCAAACCAAAACCCCGATTATCCATGAAAATGCTAAAAACCACCCCGAAAATATCTATGTACAACAGGAGATTGCCCGTGGCAGTGCTGGACCCAACTCCTCCGTGGCAGGCAGGGACACAGCCCGGCCCTGGCTGCTGGTGAGGGCGGGCAGCACCTGCCCTGAGTCCCCCAGCCAGGTGATGAGGGTCCCCTGGGGGCTGGCCGGGTGCCACAGGAGCGAAAGGCCATCGGTACCGGGCCTGCTGGGCCCTGGCTGATGCTGGTGTGTCCGGGGACACAGGCAGTGAGCGGCTGGCGTGGAGATGCTGGCGGAGGCTGCGACGTGGCAGTGATGCAGCAGCTGCTGCGGGCAGCGAGCGGCCGGACAGGAGAGGGCAGCAGCCTCGGCAGCACCAGCAGTTCTTAAGAGAAACTGCGAGATGACAATGTGCAGAGGCCCTAGAAGCAGTGTACAGAGCTCCAGAGCGATGCACAGAAGCCTTGGAGTGGTGTACAGAGCTCCTGGAGCAATGCACAGAGCCCTTGAAACAGCGTACAGAGCCCCCGGTGCACTGTACAGAGCCCCAGAGCAATGCAGAGCTCTCAGAGCAGTGGATGGAGCCCCCGGAGCAATGCAGAGCTCTTGGAGCCCTGCACAGAGCCCCCAGAACAAGGCACACAGCCGCAAAGCAATGCGTTGAGCCCCAGGCACCTGCAGCTCCATCTGGGTGAATCCCTCCACCCAGCTCCATCTGGGTGAATCCCTGCCTGGCCCCTGGCAGGCGGCTGGAAAATAGGTCAGGCAGCTGCCTCAGAAATCTCTGTTCTCTCCTGAAGCTGCACAGGGGCACCAAGGTTGCTCTGTGTGGGACAGGGTTGCAATTGCCCACCGCCAGGAGCTCTGCAGTGCTGGGGGGGCTGTGGCTGCTGCCCCCTCCCTCCCTGGGTAAGGCTTTTTCTGGTGCTGATAGAGGGATGCGCGGCACAGACCACGGGCCACGCTGCAGCCTCCCAAACCACAATCTCTTAATCCAATTGGTGCCTCTCCAAAGTAGCTCATTTCGGTATTTTTAAAATGCACTTGGTTTTACATTGCAGGCTGTCCGGAGTTGGGCAGGGCCAGAAGTGGAGAAGTGGAGAAACAAAAACAAAAAACAAACAAACAAAAAACAAAAAACAAAAAACAAAAAACAAAAAACAAAAAACAAAAAACAAAAAAAAAAAAAAAAAGAAAAGAAAAAGAAAAAAAGAGAAATATGTATATTCAGCACTTAGAGAAGAAATAACTACAAGTGGCCCCCAAGCAGGGAGGTGGGTGCACCTTGGGAGCAGGGGATGTGCACACACACACACACACAGAGGCACAGGCCACCTCTCCCCACACTGTGCACCCAGCGATCCCAGCCTGCAGCTGGAGGAGCCCTGGGACCACCCGGACCCCTCCAGCAGCCAAGGGCCTCAGCAGCAGCCCAAGAGCAGAAGGGTGGCCGAGGAGGGCCCGCAGCCAGCCCAGCCCGGGTGACCGCAGGGAGCCTCCCGCCTCCTTCCTGCCGGGGAAGCACACACAGCCCGCGGCTGATGCAACCGCGCGGCAATCGGGCAATCGGCCCGCGGGATGCTGGAGCCCAGGCAGGGCGGGCAGCAGCCGGGGCGGGTGCAGCATCAGCCCCCGGCCAGTGCTTCCCTACAGGGCCCAGCCCTCCCCGTCGACACCAGCAGCCTCCCCTGGCTGCTCTCCCTTTCTCAGCCCTCGGCACGGCAGGGTCTCAGCTGACATTCCCGGCGCGGTGGCACCGGCCAGGGCCCCCCGGCAGCGGGTCTCTGCGCAGGCAGGAGGTGATGCAGCCACCCTGCCAGGGTGTCCCCGCACCCCGGGGCTACCGGCAGCCTCCGGCTCCACATCTGCTTCGTAAGCGTCCCCGGGGCCGAGGGGACGTTTAGGAGACAGATGAGCCCGCGCCGCCTCCGAGAGGGGCCCCGCGGGCTCAGCGCGGGCGCTCTTCCGGCAGGACAGTGGATGGCAGGCACGCTGCGTCCCCCGGCCCCCCGTCCTCACTCACTCGAGACCCCCGGCTTCTCCTCCGCCCTGGGGGGCTCTGCGGGGTGCAGTTTGCACTTGGAGGGGGAGTGGCGGACCGCGGAGCGGGATGGCCGGGCAAAGCAGGAGGTGAGGGACTGGGAGCTGCAGTCACACGCCGTGTCCTGCAAAGATAGACAGGGCACAGCGGAGTTAGAGGGGTCAGGCACCCTGTCCCCCGCCACGGCGGGACACCCCGGGGGGCTCCGTGCCTCGTTACCTCGCTGGCTATAGCCGAGATGAGGTCAGGGTCCCGCAGGGCTGCGTCCTTACTGCCCTGGCCAGGGGACGAGGGCTTGGGGTCCTCGCAGCTGCCCTGCTTGAGGACCTTCTTGTTCAAGACACGGGAGATGTTTTCATGGTGGGTGGCGGGGCTGGGGTGCTCGGCTCTCTTGCTCTCCTCCCCAGTGGCCTCCTTCTTCTCCTGGGGGGCAGTGGGGCTCTGCGCCCGCCCGCAGACATTCCTGAAGAACTCCTGCACGAGGCCATACTTGGGTGCTTCGGGCTTGGCCCGGCTGCTCTCAGGACAGCCCGGCTTCCAGATGGACTCGGTGCTGCCCGCGTGCTCCACCACGCTGAACAGGCTGGACAGGCCATCATTGATGTTGCTGAGGACAGGGCTGTCGCGGGTGGTAGTGGAGCGGGCCCAGGCAGAGCCGTTCTGCTTGCTCTGGTGCAAGTTCCACAAGCTCCTGTCCTTGGAGGCATCCAGCTTGGAGGAAGACCTCCTCTGGAGCTTTGGAGAGCCGTATTTTGGGGAGCAGCATGGCCGCTCGATCCTGGAGTGGACCTTATCCAGGGAGGAGGAGATCTGCTTGCTGCGCACGGACACGAGGGAGGAGCTGCGCGGGGACCAGCTCTTACCATGCATGCCGGGGCCGCGGGGCAGGTCGGTCTGGAGGCCCACGCTCACCGTCTGGATGGTCTGTGTGCCCACGTGGGCCAGCCCCACTGTCTGGCTGGAGGTGCTTTTCACCTTCCTCTCGAGCGAGCTGGAGCGGATGGCCTGGCGCACGCAGTTGGTGATCTCCTTCATGTCGTCGCTCATGTTGCCGGAGATCTCCAGGTCGTGCAGCGAGGGGGGGAAGCGCGGCACCGGCGGCACTGCGCTCTCCCCCGCGCCACTGTCCAGCAGCTCCTGCTGCTGCTTGGAGAAATTGCACAGCCACTGGCTGTAGGTGCCCTCGGCGCTGGCCGACTCCTCCGGCTCCTTCGGCTTGGCCATGGTGAACAAGAATCCGGGCTCGACCATGATCTTGCCCTCCTTGTTGTGCACCAGAGGCGCCTCCAGCCGCCGCACCACCGGCGGGCTGTAGTAGATGCGGATTCCTGTCTTGTCGGGTGCCGTGTAGCTCCTCTGGATTTGCTTCTGAGCTGGGTCGTGTCCGGACAGGCTGCTTGCTCGTGAGTAGTCCCAGGAGGAGATGCCCAGCTTTTCCTTTGCCAGACTGTCAGGGGCAGGTTGTTCGATATTCACATATGTACAGTTTGAGGGAGGGAGGCTGGCGCTGTCCCGGATCCCGTTGGGCAGTATCTGCGTGGTTGAGGATGCCTTTTTGCACCGGGCATGGTCACCCAGCCCTGGCACGGTCTTTCCAGAGAGGTAGGGAGAACAGTCAAGCAAGCTTTCAAACTCTGACATGGAGGAAACAGACTTGGTCCTGTGGGAGGAGAGAGAATAGGGATTAAAAGGGGACAGGGAAGGGGACTGGGGGACAGCTGAGGCACTCTGTTCCCACCCCAGTGGGACCTTCCTTGGCACCCAGTCCTGCTCCTCACAGGGAGCTCTTTGCTTCCAGGACTACCCTGGAACAGGGTTGCATCTCCTCTGTGACTCTCAGGGATGTCAAGCCCAGGGGCCCCCTCTATGTTCCAGGGACTATGGAGGCACCAGCACACTCACCTTTTGAGGTTGGTTCCCTTGGCTTCTGCTTCAGAGATTGTCTCCTTGTCTGTGATTTTCTCATTGAGAGCCTAGGAGGGCACAGGAGAAAGCTCCGGGGTCAGCAACCACATGACCAGAGCACCGAGATGGGCTGGAGCTCAGGGGCTGCATCCCACTCCCCTCCAGCACCACCAGCTTCCCCACACAATGAGTCACAGCAGTCCCAGGACTGCATGGGGCTTGCTGCAACTACATCTATTTAAAATCAGCTTTTTATAACCCCACAGAAGCTCTTGGGGGTTCAGCCATGCCCTTCATGCTCTCACTCTCCCGGTGCTCTCCCTTGCAGCCTCATTTGATGTTTAAGGGGGTGTTAATTGGGGTTCACACATCCTCCCATCTTAGCAGAGACCTGATCCCTAAGAGCATCCTGAGAGCATCCACCCTGTCTTACCCACCTCTTTCCAGTTGCTGCCATGCTTCTCCATTTCAGAGTGCTTCAGTGCCCATGGATTGGATCCCTTCTGCAACTGGAGAATGTATTGGTCACTCAACAGGTGCAACATGAGCCTCTCTGGGCAAGCAAAAGCATGAAACATTCTCGGGGCAAGCAGCAGAGGCTGGAGGACACATGCAGGATGGGGGACACCATACCTGGTTGAGTTTGTTCTGCAGGTCCTTCGCTTGCTGCTCTGCCTGCTGCTGCTCCTCCTTGAAGCGAGCCAGCAGCTCCAGCTTCTCCTGATTCCAGTTCTTCTCGCTGATCTGCAGCTGCTTGGTGAGGTCCATGACAGCGCTGTAGGACTCGGCCAGGAGATGCTGGTGCTCCTCACGCTCCCTCTTCAGTGCCACCTTCCAGTCTGGCAGCGCACGCTCTGCGATCCCTTTGCCTGCCTTTGACTCTAGCTGTGGGGACACGGTGGTGGCTGTGAGGGACCCAGGGTTCCAGTGTGGTGCTGGACATTTCCAACAAATGGGCAGGGCTGAGGGCATCCCGCTTGCCAGTGCCACTCCCAAGCTGCCAGGCTGGGTAATAAGCATGTCCCCAAAGATGTGACACACAAAACATGGCTTGCCCATGGCACAGCCAAGCCATGGCCAGCCGTGGCTTGCAGCCACATCATGCCAGCTGGCCAGCAGATGGTCACCCAGCAGGACACAGGCTGAATGTCCTGCCTGCCTGGCCGTGCTCCTGCCTGCAGGACATGGCTCCTGGAGAGGGGCACCATCACCTGCAGTGCTGCCTGAGCAGCCCCCAATGGATGGAGCACCACTGGGGTGCTGCCACCACGGCTGCTCTGCTCACTTTTGAGGAGGAGATATAGGAACTGGGGACTCATGCTCTGCCAGGAGAAATCCTGCCTGGAAAGTGCTGGCACCTGTGCTGGGGAGCAGAGCTGATGTACAGCCATGGGCTGCTGCCAGCACAGTGTGAGTGGAAACCTCTCAGCACTGGGAGGGCAGGGCTGAGGGACTGGTGGGACTCATACTACAGGCTGGAGCTTCCCCCAGTGCCCAGGCTGCCCTCCCTCCACCTCCTGCCTTCCCTGCAGCCCTGCATCCCTTCTGCAGCATCCGCAGGGATCCTGCACTGTGACTCGGGGTGGGGGAGAGGTGGGCTCTGATGCTGCTCTCAGCTGCCTGTCCTCAGGGGGGATGCTGAGCCCCTGTCCCATCCCACCCTCCCCAGAGAGAGGAATAAAGAGCATCCTCTGCTGCTCCACAGTCAGATTTCCATGCCAGCCCTGTTGCCATGGAAACTCTCCTGCCTGAGTGGCTGCTAATTAAGATTCCCACAGTGCCACCCTGCTCCCAGCCCAGTGCTTGGCACAGGGCACAGGCAGGCCCCCAGCCCCCCAGCAGGCATGGGGGAGCTCTGCCAGCCCACGGGGTGCCCGGGGCTCCCACCTGGGCGATGTGGCACTTGAGCTCAGCGCGCTCCATCTCCCAGGCAGCCTTGGCCTTGGTGAACTGCTGCTGCAGCTCGCTGGCACCGCGCCGCTCCTCCCGCAGCTCCGTGCACAGCTCCTTCAGGGTCACCTTCATGTCTGCCAGAGTCTTGATGCACTCGTTGGGCTGCAGGAGAACAGGGGTGAGCACAGGTAGCAGGAGGGGACCCAACAGGGTGAGACTCTGTGGGAGCTGCCCTCTCTGCATCCCAGCCCTGCAGCTTGCTGCCAAGGTGAGGGACAGGGGAAGCCACCAGGGCAGGGGACCATGCTCAGGGGTGATGTGCTGGGGAGGAACATCCCCACACAGGCATGCACCCTGAGAGCAGCCACCAGCCCATGCCACACGGCCACAGCAGGGGCTGATCCTACCCTGATCCACCCCCTGGGCTCATGGGGACCCTGCTCACCGTGTTGGGGGTCCAGGTGTCCCCGGCACACATCTTGTTGTCTGCCTGTTGCTGTGGGGCTAGTTCCTCCTCTTCCAGCAGCAGGTACAGCTCCTTCATGCTGTTCACCTGTGGGTGACACCGTGGCTGGGGTGATATGGGGACCCACAGCCCCTGGGCAGGGATGGGGGACACCCAAACAGCCCTGGGCAGGACAAAGAGGCATGAGGGACACACCCAACAGTGTGGTCTCCCCTCCACGGCAGCCCACTGTACCTCCAAAAAGTCCTCGCCCTCACTGTGCACCACCTTGCCCTGGCGCCAGCGCTTGAGGAACCACTTGAGCTTCATGAAGAGCAGGAGGAAGCTCTGCCTGAACTGCTGTGACTCCTGCACCAGCAGGTTCTTTTCCTGGCTCCAGAACTTCTGTTCCAGCCGCCTCTGCAGGTTCAGGCTCTGCAGCTCAAACTCCCGTCGCAGCAGTGCTTTCTGGTGGTCCTCTTTCAGCTGTGGAGAGACGAGCGGCTCCAGGACAGGCACTGGTGGCAGCCATGTGATGCCTGCCCCCCAGGGTCTGGGCTGAGCCTGGTGCCACCCCGTATTCCCATCCAGGGGAGCTGCACCACTCTGGGAGCATGCTGGGGACAGCAGGGCCATGGGGGAAGCCCTGCATGGCTCCATGTGCAAGGAGGAGTGTGCTCAGCTCAGAAAATGTGACATGCTGTGTGTGCTCCCAGGTGACACCCAGGTCCCCACGTGGGTCATAGGGCTAGGGCTGGAGGTGGCACCGCCATGGGTTGAGCACAGCTGTCTCCCAGGGGCAGAGGCTGTGACCTACTCACCTGGCAGATCTTCTGTGAGAAGTTGTCCACCTCGTCCTTCCTCAGCTGCCTCTCCTGTGAGAGCTGCTCCTGCAGCCCCCGCAGGCTCTCGTTGGCCTCTGACAACACCAGCTGCAGCTCCTTCATCTGTAACAGCCCCAGAAGGGGATGGGAAAGCTGGCCTGCACTTCCCTGTGTCCCCAGCTCTCAAAAGCCTGTCCCACAGCCCTGTCCCCAACCCCGCTGGCCAAGGGGACATGGCTGCCAGCCTGTGTCATACCTCGGTGGCGTAGGAGTCGTTGTCCTCAGCCCGGCAGGGTTTGTAGCTCCGGGGATGGGCGGGGTCCGTGTCCTTGGAGTGGGGGATGCGGAAAGGGTCGGCGTCCCTAAAATCAGGCTGCTGCATGCGTGGGCAAGTTAATGAGAACAAACCAAAAGAGCGGGAAGAAAAAAAAAAACAGAAAACAAAACAATGGGTCTCCGAAACAGTAAAGAACTACAAGACAACAAAAAGGATGAGGAGGAGAAGGAGCTTCATCACCATGGCGGGAGACAATGTGGAAACCAAAAGGAAACACAGGATGAGGAGACACGTGGCCTGGATTGTTTGGGGAAAGGGGAAAAAAGAGAGAAAGAGGGAAAAAATGTGCAAACACCAGTTATGGTGCCATGCAGTGATTGGGGGAGACTGGGACCTCGGGCTAGGGGGACGACATGCAGAACAATAGGACTCTGAACAAGTGAGTGTGCTCCAGAAAGGGGCTTGTGCCTGCAGCCCCGACCACCACTGACACCCCTGGCCCCTGGCACCAGCTGAGACCCCTGAGAGCAGTGGGACAGCAGGGCATGAGCTGCTCTGCACTGCTACAAAGGTGTTCTCCCTTGGATGCAGATCTGCCCTGAAGCCTTTGGTCTCCAAATTACCCTGCCTGGGTACTTCTGGGGATGGAGGATTCCTGCAAGTGGGGTCCCTGGAATTTGGGCTGCTTTTGGAGGCCGCAGGCTGCTCTCCTCCCACCCAGCTCATCCCCAGCAAGCAAAGAGCTCTTGAAACACAATGTTGGGCTAAGCCAGGGAGAGCAGCCAAAACATCAGCCCCTGCTAAGATGGGATTGCACCTGAGAGCCCCTGGTCATGGGCAGGGCAGCCTTGGCACAACCAGCCTGTGTCAGGATGCCCACTGCCTCCTGCCCTGGGCACACTCTGTTGGAGCAGAGTCCTACCTTGTCCCCGGTGCCACTGGCATGCAGTGAGGTGTTAGTTTGGATTTTGCTCTGGAGAGGCAGGAGGGAGGTTACAGTGGGGATCAGGGTTTGCTCCATTAAAGCAGGAGGAAACGTGGTGGCAAATAAAGCGGCAGCTGCTGTGAGGGATGTGGGAAGAAGCCGTACCTGGAAGTCAGAGGCATGCTCTTTGGTGACATCATGGCTGCTGGGGCTGGAGAAGGGGAACGAGTCCGTGTGCTCCTTGAAGCCACCGGTGAGGTGGTCCACCTTCCTCACAAAGCAGCCCAGGTCCTGCTGGAGCACGCCCAGCCGCATCAGCAGCACGTTCATCAGCTTGGCATCGCTGGGGCTGTCACCACCGCTGCCCACTGCCTCGCCCAGCAGCACCCCCGCACACTCGTTGTCCAAGCAAGCCTTCAGCCCCGAGGTGAACCCGTTGGCATCCGAAATCAAGACATCGATCGCTTTACTGACCAGCGTCGCCTGGTCCCGGATGCCCAGCAAGGTCTCCAGGTCCTTGGGCTTGAGCAGTTTGGCAGGGCCATCGGGCACCTTCCCGCTGCCCAGCCCCCTGTCCTGCCCGTCGGCCTCGCTGCCGCCCACGCCGTCCCTCCAGCCGGCGGTGGGGACGCACTGTGCCGAGTCGCCGGCCTCGGCGTCGGTCTCCAGCATGGGCCGGGTGGTCTGGCAGGAGGCCAGGTCGCAGCGCTGGAGGTTGGAGAGCAGCACCCTGTTCTCATACTGCAGCTTTTTCACCTTGCCACTGAGCTCGCTGATCTGCACCTTGGCTGTGGCCAGCTCCTCCTGCGAGGGCTCGCTGACCACCGAGCAGCTGTCCTCCGACAGCGTCACGTCCAGCTCGTGGTCCGACTTGTACTTGGTCAGCTCGTTCAGGAGCAGCTTGTTCTGGTCCTCCAGCTCCAGCAGCGAGCGCCTCAGCAGCTCAGCCTCCTCCTCCACGAACTGCAGGTGCCGGCGCAGCTCGGCCACCGTGTCCCCCGCGTCCCCGCAGCTGGAGACGCCCACCAGGAACCGCGTGTCCTGCCCCGGCAGCTCCCTGTCCCCCTGGCCCTTCATGTCGTCCATCTCCGCCCGCAGCCCACGGTTTTCCACCTCCAGCTCCACTATCCTCCGGCTGAGGATGTTGGCTTCCTCCTCCACCAGCTTGAGGTGGACCTTCAGCTCGGCTTCCCGGGAATGGGGAGAGTCAGCCAGCTCCTCCACGGACAGGGAGCTGTCGAGGTCCCCGTACAGGGACCTGTACTTCAGCAGCTCCTCCTTCATGCCATCGTTCTCCTTGGCCAGCTTGGTCAGCTTCTTGCACATCAGGGCTGACTCCTCCTTGGCAAAATGCAGCTGGCACTTCAGGTCTGCGCTGTCCTCCTGGGGACCCAGAAGGGGTGGGTGTTAGAAAGATGCTCCCAAGGGCCACGGTGACTCCCAGAGAGCCCTGGGGACATGCCACCCTCCCACACCAGTCATCCCAGGGAAGCTGCTGGCTCTGCTCCTGGAGGAGGAAAAGCTTTGAGATCCATCCTGGAGACTTTCAGGGTGAGCCTGAAGAGGGGACAGGATGCCCTGGATGAGGAGACCTGTGGGTCTGGCTCCAAGAAGGACATTGAGCCACCACCAGGGATGTGAGGACCAAGTCCAGCCTGATCCACAACAGGGCAGAGGGGAAGAGAAAGCTCTCAAGACTCCACAGGGTTATTAAGATTTCCTCCCCAAAACTGGCACTGAAATGCCCTCGTCAGGGCTCTGCTTATGTTGCTCAGCCCCCCACTCTCATCACAGGGCAGAGAAGCAGCTGAAAACCTCTCGAAGTCCCAAACCCCAGCCTTGCTGCCATCACCTTGCCAGGGCACTGAAAACCCAGGCAAAGCCTCAGCTCCAGCTCACCAGTCCCCTCCCAAGCCCTTCTGCTTCTCAGGACTGTTTCTCCATGTGTTCTTTTTTTATTTAGCAGTTAGGATCTTGGCTCTTTGCCCAGACAGACCGTTTCTCTGCTCTGGGAGCTTTTTGGATGGAGGACCAGGATTTCCTGACGTCCAGCTCGCAGCTTCCCGTGCCCTGGGGTCACTTGAGTGCTCCGAGCTGCGGCGTGGTCACTGCCAGGAGGGGACCTGCTGGGCTGTGACCCTCACCTCACTGCACCCACTGCAGCTGGGCAGTGCTGGAGGTGGCCAAGCCCTTTGGCTGGGTTGTTGCTGGCCCTGGTAGCCCTCTGCCTGGCTGAACTCACCCCTTTTCCCCTTTCCTTGGCTGGAAAAAAAAAGCTGCCCCCTTCTTTGGGTGCTCTGGACCCCCAGCCCCCCAGCCAAGCCCACACTCACCCCAAACCCCACAGCAGTATTTACTCTGCTGACTTCCTGGACTGCTCATAACGAGGCCTGGGGGGATGGAAAGGGAGTTCCCATGACTTTGGGGTGCCGTTTTATTCCCTAAATGTCCTGCAGTGACCACAGGAACCACCCTGCTACACTTCCATGCTTGTGCACTGGGACACGACCTCACTAAGGCACATTAAAGCTGTGCCCCCCTAATTAGGTGAGGAGATTAGGGGAGGGCTGGTGTGGGCAGGGCAGACATGACCTCAGTTCCTGTTTTTCCAGGGGGGAAAAAAAAAAAAAAGCAGCAACCCAGTGAGTCGCTCTATGCCTTAGCATCAGCAAAGAGACACACACACGTCCCCAAGACCACCTGGAGTGCTCCTGGGGTCTGGGAGACCTCAGTGTTGAGTCTGTTCCCCCCAGCTCCATTTCTGGGGAGTGCTGATGCTCACCCAGCACAGCCAGGCAGGAAAGGGGCCCAGGAAGCCACAGATGAGTCACAGCATCTGTGCCCACAGGGCCACCAGCCACAGCTGAGCAGGGACAGGGAGCCCATGGGGGCCACATCCAGGGGCATGTGCACCCAGGGAAGCCCAGAGCTCCTGGAGCATTGGTCCCACCACAGAACTGGGGCCACCCTGACCCCAAGCTGAAGGGTCTAAGCTCCATGGGGAAGCAGAGGGGGATGGGGTTGTTTCCTGCCCCAGGAGGAGGCAGATGAGGAGCTTCAGCCTCAGGAAGGGGGTGATGGAGGAGCCCACTCCACAGGGCAGAGCTGGCTGTAAGTGCTCTCTGGGGAAATGAGGGGAAGGATGCTAGGACCATCAGCTGGCCAGAAAGGGCTCTCAAGAATGGAACTAAAGGGAGGTGATAAATAAAGACTGGAAGGGAAAGTCTTTGAGGGCCTGGGGGTCTCTGTCCTGTGGCTGCACAGAAAGGCTTGTGCCAAGAACACAGGTCACCCAAACCCCTTAGGCTGCTCAGAGTTCCTGCTGGGAGACACTCAGCAGCATGTCAGGACTGTCTTTACATGTCCATGTACATGGAGGACTGCCTCCATGTCCCAGCTTTGAGGGAGCAGATCTGTTCCCCAGAATAAACCCTTCAGGTCTGTTGCCTTTGAAAGAGGATTTTTCCTCTTGCCTTTCTATCCCTGCAACAGCAGCTCTGCCTCTCCGAGCCCTGGTAACAGCATTAGCGAGTCACAGCAGCTCAGCTCAACAGCAAGTGACAGCTGAAATCCTGCTGCCACCAGCAAATCCCTGCCCTGTGCTGCCCCAGCAGCCTGTGAGGGCAGGAGTGGTGTGGCCTCCAGCCATCCCCACAGGGACCCTCTGCTCCCCCAGACCCTGTGAAGCTCCCAGAGCACTCCAAGCACAGCTGCTGGCACTGGCAGGGGGGACACGGGCTGCAAGAGCCACAGGAGCAGAAGCAGCTTTGCAATGTAAAAGCCAATGTTCAGCTCCTTACACAGGGAAAGGGTTAAAGCCACTGCTGCTCCATTGATAAATGAGACAAGGGAGCGTTGAGGACAAAGAGGATGGCCCAGCACATCAATCCCTCCCTTATGCAGGGGCTCTGGGAGGCAGGAAAGCTCTGCAAAGCCCTGCAAGGAGGGGATGGCGCTGCCATGCCCGGGTTTACTCCTGGCCTGGGCTCAGTGTCCAGCTGGCACCATGACCTGGGGTGTTGGTGGGTCACTGTGGCGTGCCCTGGGTGCTCAGGTGCTGATACCTGCACTGATGGCTTCTTCTCAGTCTTGCCCAAGGAGCGAGACCCCCGCTTCTTCAGGGAGTTCTGCAGGAAGAAGAGAGAGTTATGACCCACAGCGATGGCCCTGCACCCCAGCAGTGACAGGCAGACAGACAGACAGACAGGTTCAGTGTGGATGGACATTGGTGCTGACATTCCCAGATGCTCATGGACCCCAGGAAAACACCTGGTGGGCTGAGGGAGGCCCTTTGCTTTGAGGGAGCTGGACTGGCAAGCATCACATCATGAGGTTTGGCCAGAAATTCCCCCTGCAGGCAAACGAGCAGTGAAAAAGCAGGAGTGAGCAGGAAATGAGCCATGGAGAGTGGAGAGGCTGAGTCACTGTCCCTGTCAGGGCTGGATGGAGCAGAGAATCCAACCCCCAGGCCAAGGGACAGCTCTCAGGACATTGCAGTGTGGGAGCAGCAGATGATGACATTCCCGATTGCCTTTTCCCCAAGCAAGGGATATGTCCTGGTCCCGCAGCAGCATGATGCTGACTCTGCTGTCAAGGTCACAAAGGGACACAAGGGACAATGTCCAGGCTAGTGAGGACAGCTGGGAGGTGGGGAAGGCAGACAGAGCAATAAGGCAGACCAAAAGCACAGTAAAAATGCAGGTGCCCAGAGCAGAGCCACTTATCTGGGGAAGGGAGCTGGGGCAAGACCCTCAAAACATCCACAGAGCCTCCCATGAGCACTGGCTGATCCATGCAGCTGCCCTGGACCTTTTTCCAAGCTGGTGCTGAGGCCCAGCAGCCAGAGAAAGCAGCTCTGAAATGTAAGCTGCTGCCTGTGCCAAGGTGCAGGGCTCCAGGCTTTCCTATTAAGGCCACGACCATCCCTGGAGCTGCTGGAGCTGCGGAGCCTCTCCCAGGGGCTGTTGTGCCACATCACATCCCTCACCCCCACCCTGCTGGGGACTGCAGCTGGCAAAGGGCAGCACCAGCCCCAGAGAGCCCCAGGCACAGCGCCCTGGGCAGATGTGGCTGCCACTGCTCCACCCTGGGAGCAGCCTTGGGGCGGCCCTGCCTGAGGGTCCCCTCAAGGCCAAGCTTGGTGTGGCAGGCTTGGCATGGGGTACCCAGATTGATCCCACTTTTTCCGACCCCTTTAGGAGACAGAAGAGGCGAAAATGCCTGTGCCTTCGGGAATGATCCCCAGACAATTATCCAATTATGGGAGAAACCTCTTGGAAGGGAGGAATAATCAGCCCCAGGGGTGAATGCAGCCCTGCCTGGCTCTGGCTGCTAACAAGCTCTGCCAGGCTCTGTGCCCTGCAGCAGGGAGGAGGAGGGCTTTTAGCTCACTTTGTCTAATGTTTGCCTAATTAGCACTCTGCAATCAGCGAGTAACCCCATCGCCCTTTCTAGACTGGGGATGTGCCATCCTGAGCTTGGGGACCATTTCTGAGCCTGTGCCAGCCAGCAGTGTCCCCAGGGCTCAGGCAGCTGCAGGAGGGGCTGCATCCCACCCCATGCCCTTCAGCCAGGGCAAGGCAGTGCCTGCCTCTCAGAGCTCCCCATGCTGACCACAGAACCATTTTCCCTGCCTGTTTCCGAGTGAGGGAGAGCTCCAGCCCAGCTCCCACTGCTGCCATTTGTTATTCAGCCCGTGCTCCCGGCTGCAGGGAAACCCATTTCACATTTCATGGCTGTTAGCAGGGCTGTGCAAGACACCCCGTGTGGGGGATGCTGCTGCGTGTCACCAGCACAGGCATGGCTGAGAGGGGATGGGTACAGCTGGATCCTGCAGCTTCCCAGGAGCTGGGCTGAGAGGGGAGGGGTACAGCTGGATCCTGCAGCTTCCCAGGAGCTGGGCTGAGAGGGGAGGGGTACAGCTGGATCCTGCAGCTTCCCAGGAGCTGGGCTGAGAGGGGAGGGGTACAACTGGATCCTGCAGCTTCCCAGGGCTCAGCTTTAAGCAGGGATGGCCCCAGAGATCCCGAGCTGCTGTGTGCAGGAAGCACAGTGGGGGAAGTGAGAGCCTTCCCTTGGCTGTGTCTCCTCCCCCACACTGGCCTGATGGCTCAGCCAGAGATGCATCCCGAGGCTCCCCGGGGACCAAAGGCATCCCGGGCAGTAGGGAAATGGGTTACAAGGGCTGCAGTGGATCTCAAGTCCATGCTGTCACCAGGATGCCTTTCCTGCCACTGAGGCTGACACAGATTCCAGCCAGAAGCTGGTCCCAGACAGAGCATGACATGGAGTGCCCTGGACTTGTGCATATGGGTACATTTGTGACTGCCCAGGACACAGAGGGGATTGTGCACCCACCCAGCTCCGCAGCACCACTGGGAAACTGCTGGGACCTGCAGGATGTGGTCAGGATACAGCCAGCACCAGGCACTCTGCCAGGGACAGGGACCCCACACATCACTCGGAGCTTTGCCCAGATGGAATTGGGCACGGCCCAGGGGGCTGGGCTGAGCAAGTGGCCAGGGACATATAAAGTGTCCCCATAGCAGTGGGGAAGTCCCATAGCCCCCCCTGGATGGGGCAGAGCCAGCCTGTGCCCACAGGGTGGGATGGAGCACACTGAGGGCAAGTGCTGCTCGGGTTTCACAAGCATCTGTAGCACGGTTTGGGTTTCAGTGACTCAGGCAGGGCTGGGGGATCCCATGATCCAGGGCCAGGACACCTGCTATGAGCAGAGCCCTGGGGATGCCTCCTGGTCCCCCTCCCGTGTCCCACTCACCTCTCGGAGCTTGTCCATCTCGTTCTGCACCACCTGCTTGGCCAGCTCGGTCTCGATGAGCCGCTGGCGCAGCTCCTCGTTCTCCTCCTCCAGCCGGATCCTCTTCTTCTCCACCACCTCCAGCTCATTGTGGAGACGCACAGAGACGTCCTTGGCCACCTGGGGACACAGCAGGGCTCCCATCAGACTGGGCACAATGTGCAGGGGGCTGAGACTACAGCTCCTGGGCACCCACAGTCCTCATGAGGACATCACCAGGCAGTTACTGAGACCCTCTGGGGGAGACACTGTGGGGGGTGACACCCAGGCCCTTGTGTCTGTCCCCTCAATCATGTGCTGTGACTGCTCTTGTTCCTTCACTAGCTGCAGGGCTGCCCTGCGTCCCCATCCCCTGGCCAAATCCTGCCTTTCCCAGCCCTAGCATGATGCTGGGAGACATTAATCACCTTTTTTCCATACCACAATGCTGGAGAAGCCCTCAGAAGGCTGGAAGAGCTGGTAGGCAGCAGCAGAGCAGGCAGCCTGTCGCTGCAGGCAGCAGCTGTGCCGGCCAGGAGAAAGGCGAGCTGCTGCATCACATTACAGAAAAACCAGCAGCTGCCCCGGGTGAAGGGTGCCTACATCCCCCCCCAGAGCTCCCCCTCTCCAGAGCCCTGCACGGGAGCAGTCCTCAGCATAAAGGGAGCTTAATAACACAAAATATTCACTCCTGCATTTCCAGGACAGCAAAACTTGTCCCAAATGCCACTGCTGTCCTGCACAGCCTGGGATATCAGCACTGTGAAGGCAGCAGCAAGCCCTGCTGCAGGATCTCAGGCCATGGGGTTGGGCTCCTGTTCCCCCGAGGATGGGCTGTGCTTTCTTTCCCAGAAAGGGAGAAGCTAGAGGGGGTGTTTTTGGCAGCAGCAACCCAAGCTGGGGGGGAGCTGATGGGTGGTTTGGGGAGGGGATTGGGGCCCCAGCAGGGATGGGCAGTGAGGCGGGTTCACAGCCCAACACTTGTGGCATGTCTTGGCCCCAGGACTGGCTCTTTTCTGCTCAAAAAACAAAGTTAGTCCTCGAGCTGTTGCACATCCATCCCGAGCTGTCTCCAAGTGCCACCGCACCCCTTCTTGGCAGCAGTCTCGTTGGTGAGAGCCCTCAGCAAACACTCACCAGGCTCCTCCAGGGCGAAGCAACGTCACCCTGCAGAAATCCTCTTGTCCCTGCCCCAGCCCCATGTGCCACCGTGCCTGGGGCTCTGCAAGGTTTTCCTGATGGCCGAGAGAAGCAGCTCCCACGCCTGCAGGGTCCTGGTCCCCACCCTCTCTCCCTGCACACTTGTGATGCTCCATCCTGCAGTGGTGGCCCCATCACATCCCCACAGGAGTAGGACAAGGGAGCTCAGCCCCAGGGCCCAGGGCTGGGCTGGGCTCCAGCCTGCACAGGATGAGCCTCACATATGGCACATTTTCAGCAGTGCTGGCCCTCTCCACCACCAGGACCCCCTCAGATCACCTGAGAGCTGAAAGCACTGCTCCCCACTTCCCACATCAACACTGCTAGCAGGGAATTATAATGTCTCCAACAAAACTGCACATCACAATTCGCACATCCTCACAGAGCTCCCTGAGCCCCGACATCCCCTGCCACCTCCATGCCCACAACTCATCAAAACTCCCTTTGAGGGCTCTGGGGGCTGCCTGGGTGGGGAGGTGCCCTCCCAGGCTGACCTTGACGTCCTGCTCGAGGCTGTGGATGAGCTCGCCGTCCACCTGGCCGGTCTGAGCCACGCGCAGGCTGCGGCGCTCGGCCTTGCGCAGCCGGTACTGCAGGATGCGGCACGTCTTGCTGGCCTGGTCCAGCTGCTGCCGCAGCTCCTGCAGCTGGTACACGTCCTCCTCCATGTAGACATCCCGCATCTCCAGCATCTCCGCACGCAGCTCCTCAATCTCATCCTGCAGGGAGATGTTGGGTTAGACCCTGCAGCTTGCTCTGCCCTCTTTTCCCCTGTGACACCTCCCCACCATGGCTCTCCATCCCTCATCCATCCATTCCGCATCCATCCATCCATCCATCCATCCATCCATCCATCCGACGAACCATTTTCACAGGTCTTCAACCCCTTGGGCCAAGCCCAATCCTTGCAGGAAAAGGCTCAGAGCCAGCTGGATGCCGTCACCCAGGGGTGAGCCAGTCACGCGGTGGGGAACAGCCAACAAAAGCGCCTGGGAGTATTTGTGGTAAAAGAAAGAGGAAGGTGGGGGAGGGAGAGGAGCTGCAGGAGCAGCTCAGGCAGCAGCCACAGGGAGAAAAATTAGGTTATCTTTGGAAAAGATGTGTCAAGGAGGCAGGCGAGGGAAGGAGGAGATGGCAGGCGAGGACAGCTGTTAGGGGAGGGAACGTGGGGACATGAACCAGATGCCACCAGTGCTAGGGACCAGAGGCTGCCCCTTGTTTTGCCACCAAGCAGCAACCCTTGGGCTGGGTCCTCTGTTCCACCTCTTCCCAGTCTCATCAGCTCTCCCAGTGACCTCCTCCAGCACAGCAGAGCCTTTGGCACAGAGCAATTGCATCACTGCCACAGCAGGGCCAAGGGTGACATCCTGCTGGCACCAGCACTGACCCAGAGCCTCCTCCGGGGATGTGGCACACGACTACTGTGGGCCCCCAGTGCCACCTCCTCATCCAGAACAGGACTGTGGTCATTGGGGCTGCTCAAGGACTGTCCCCTCTGGTCCCTGGGAACTGACCAAGCTCTGTCCATGTCACCACGAACATGGTGCCAACCCAAATCCCCTGAGCAAACGCTCCACCCACCACCGGCTGTTCTCCTCAACCAGACCCAGTGGGACCAGGGATCCCTCCTGGGAAGGGTTCAAGCATCTGCTTTCCTGCCAAAACCCCTGCCACTAAAGACCTCCTGACATTGCCAAATGCGACTGCCACTTGAGAAGTGAGTGGCTCACACTGCCACTCTGCACTGTGGCATGGTCAGGGAGGGAACAAAAGGATCTGGCACAGGCATTGAGGATGCTCAGCCCTGATTCACCCTGGGCAGAGGGGACAGGGGACTGTCCCCTCATTCCTGTGACAGCGACCTAGAGCCCGAGATGGCAGCTCTGTGCTGGCTCTGCCAGGCGCTGGCACAGTGGCTGCCACACTCACCCTGCCTGACAAAGCCCCAGCTGCAAGAACTCCCTGAAGGGAGAAGCCAAGCCTGGGGAAAGGGCCGGCAGCTGCAGGGACAAGTCACAGTCACTCACTGTTGGCTTTGAACACTTTGTAACAAAGAAGGAACCTCAATTAGACAATCCCGGATTATCTCCTGGCCTGGGCTGCCGGAGCCCGGTGGCACCATGGCCACCAGGGTCCTGTCACCCTCTGCTGCTCTGCTTCTCCACAGGGGGTCTTGAGAACAGAGCTGCTTCTGTTCTGGCTCAGAACAGAAACAGCCCCGAGGCTCTGAGATCAGCACAGGGGGTCCTGGGGACACCCGCCAGGCTGATCCAGCCCGAGACTGTCCTGTTAAGGGGCATCACTGCAGATATGTTTGAGAAAACCTCCTGGACACATCAGGTGTGAAACCCCCCCAGGGACAAACCACATGTGCTGGCAGACAGCCCTGCAAGGGCTGGGATGCACCATGGGGTGACAAACTCTATGGGGAAACCCCACCAGCACTGCCACCTCCCCCCCGGCAGGGCCACAGCCCTGGGGGCACCAGCAAAACGCCCATAAACCAAACCAGCCTGGAGAGCTGGTTTGTGGCATCTATTCCTTGGGAGCTTTCACACAAAAAAAGGCATTATGGGTTGCAGGTGAGCCGGCGCACTGCAGGGTGGGGGAAACAGCCTTCCCTTCACCACCACCGAGTCGTGGCTGGAATACAACTGCAATCCTCCCTCAGTGCTCTCCGTTCCAGCTCTCACTTGCCTGTGGCTTTCCCAGGCAGCAGCTGAGCAGGGCAGGGAGCAGGGACCTTGGAAAAAAACCAACCACATCTTGCGTTTGCTGGAAGAAAGCCTGGGCTTGCCCTGCTAAGAGCTCCTGCTTGTTTATGCTCTGGGTTGTAGCAACCGTTATTTTAGGGGGAGGCAGTGTCCAGCCTGGGCAAAGCCTGGAATCAAACCCATGGAGTGGGGCTGGGGGGATTTGCAGCACTGGGGGCTGGGAAAGCAGTGCCTGTCTTTGCTCCAGCTGCAGGAATTCACCCACATCCCATAACCTGATAAATCCTCTGAGTGGATGCAGCCTGGCAGGCGCACAGCCTGCCCCAGTTTGCCCCACGGAGGCAAACCATGCTGCTAAGCCACAGTAAAGGGATTAGGATTGGAGAGTGGAAAAATGCCAAGAAGAGAGCTTGGAGGACAGAGCTGATCTGCTAAGGCAGCACTGGGGTCCCCTCACAGCTTCAGGAGTCCATGATGGCCACAGAGCCTCACCCTTTGCACATTTTCTGGAGCTGATGCCCAACCCAGCAAAAAATCCGTTTGGATTAAGGTGAGAGCAGAATCAGGAGAGGGGAGGAACCCCACAGAAACATCCCAAATTCAGGGGTGGCATTGAGCATGGAGCACTGTAAGTGATGTTAAATGAAGTGTGACACGGTGACAGGTGGGCAACACTGAGGAGGAGATAAATGACTTCTTTCCAACACAAATGCCCCTGGGGACTGCCCTGCTGGGCTACTGCACGGTGAACAACAGGGTGCCCATCCCTATGTGGAGTCACAGCCTCTCAGCATCCATGGGCTGTTTCCCTGCTCCAGGATCAGCCACCACTGCACCCTGCTCATCCCATCTCTGCAGCAGCAAAGATTTCACAGGGTTTTTACACTGGAAATCTCCTGTCTCAGAGAAAACGCTGGGAATCTGCAGTCCAGGGAGACTCATTTGAATGCCCCAGGGATTGTGTGCAGAAGCAAACAGCCCATTTCGTGGCTGCAGGAGCCAGGTTATGCTCAGTGGAGGAGCACAAGAGACAAGCTACCTTCAACCTCCTCCACACAAACCTCAGAGACACTGTCTCTCCCCGGGGAGATTATTAAGGAAACTAAGAAGCGGAAAGGTGGGATGCAAACTGCCTGTTTCCAGCTCAGGAAAAAGAAACCATGCATGTTTAGAGCAGGAGGAGGCAACAGCTGTGTCCACACATGCACTCGAAAGACATCAGCTCTTTCAGGAAGCACTGAGCTTTAGGGTGATGACCCTGAGCAGTGACAGGGCAGGACAGGGACCAGTGGAGATGGCAGAGCACACCTCAGAGTGCAGACCAAACCCGTTACAGGTTGCAGAAACAGAATTAAACCCTCGGATCTCCTACCCAAGGGGAGTAACACGCTGACTTTGGCTCCTGCAAGAATGCAGCAAGCTCTGAGCAGAGCAGGGGGCACACACTGCACAACCCAGCAGGACCTGCTATCTCCAAGAAGCAGAAAACAGCACGGGACACAAAACAGGCTCACGCAGCGCAGCCACGGCTGGCTGTGGCTGCTTGGCTGTGCCAACCTTGGCCGGCAGAGCCAAGCAGCAGCCTGCCCGAGGGGGATGGGCAGCATTTTGGGGGGCACACCCTCCGGTTTCCCCCCCAAACCTCAGCAGAGGAGGAGGAGGAGGAGGAGGAGGGGTGGGAGCTGCCGGGGTGTGTGGCAGAGGCGCCTTTGTGCGGAGCTGGGCTGCGCTGGCAGGGCTGTGCCTGCGGCTGTCCCCGTGCAAAGACGGGGATTACCGTGCGCAGGAGAGCAACAAGCACGGCTTCCTCCCAGATTACAGCACAAAAGCAGCAGCTTTCAATTAACTCTGAGCAGGCAGCCCGGCAGGCAGCACAGGGAATTATGCCTGAATTTGCTAGAGGAAAAAAAGAAAAACCAGAGGGGATTTTTAAAGGAAACTGCCCAGGGTGCACAGGCATGTCCCCTGCCAGCAAGGGGAAGGCAGAAAATGCAGCGCACCACAAGCCCGTGCCAGGGTGCAGTGGGTGGAAGGATGGCAAGGCACACCCATGTCACACATAGGGGTTTCTCTGGGTGCGTTAGCAGCAGCTCTGGCCCAGCTCTGACAGCAAACACCAGCCATCCATGTCATGCTGGAGCTCAGTGCAGCAGCCTCTGTGCTGATCCCTGTCCCTGGCTGCCATGGCAGCTCCCCCTTGGTAATGGGAGTGAGGGAAAAATCAACATTTCTCAGCTTTACACCTGCCCCCATAAATTACCAGGCAAACAGCTGGGGGCTCTCTGCAGCCCATCCCATGTTGTGCAGCATCCAAAAAGGCAAGAGGCTGCAAAACCCCTTCTAGGGGGGCTGCTTGACAGAGCTCTGGTCCCCAGCTCTGCAGGTGGTTACTGGGGCTCCCAGGCATGGTACCTGTCCCTGTGGGCAGGCAGGGTCTGGGCAGCAGCAGAGCAGAGACGCAGTGCCAACCAGGCTGCCCAGACACAGCCCCCAATAATGGGGGGGCTCCCAGAGAGCCCTTGCTGGTGGCATGAGTACCTTGGGGGAAACAAGGCACCCAGCCACATAAATGTTTCTCTACAGAGCTGGGAAATGCATGAGCCCCAGGGGATGTGGGGATTCAGGGCAGGGAGCAGGAGGGAGACAGGCAGCAGGGAAGGGCACTCAGCTCCCAGTGTTACACGGCTCTTGGCTAAACCCTTTCCCTCAGAGAGGAGAGGAGAGGAGAGGCTCTGCAGGCATCCCCTCCCCTTACTCCAAACCCTCCCGTGCCCACTCTTTGTCTGCCTGTCCCTCTGCAGCTGCTGCTGTATCACATCTCACATTTTCCAGCCTGCTGAGCAGGGCTGGGAGCTGCTCTCCATCGCACGGCTCAGCAACAGCGAGCTGGGGCAAGGACACCAAGCCACCTCCTCCCTCCCCAGGCTGCCAACCTGCCTGTGAAAACAGCCCTTTTTGGGGAAACACTCAGAATAACCCGTTCAGGGGGGTCACAGCAGGTGCACAGGCCTGAGAGCAGGGGCAAGAGGTGATCCCAGCTCACCCAGCACACCCAGAGCGGGGGGAGAAAAGCAGAGCCCTGCACAAATGTGGGGTGCAAAGAGAAATGTGTGCTTAAACAAGTCGGTTTTATTATGGCAGCCAGGGAAAGAAGGGACGTGAGCTGGCACTGCTGGAGCTCTGCTGGGAAGCTCCCAAACCCAGCGTGCATCACACAGGCGTAGTAGCACCACACACGTCTGGCTCGTGCCAGAACGTCACCAAAGCCCTCCCACCCCCAAAAATCCTCATCTCGCTCTAAATACGCACTAGGTTTTAGCTGGTGCTGATGAACACATGAAAAAAATATTCATTTGCAGCTTTTTGGGTGAGTCCCAGGAAATAAGTCACTGGGATAAGCCTGATTCATCCACACTCGAGCAGAGGAGAGCTGCATGGCAAGACGGGCAGTGCCAATCCCTCGGGTTAGGGCTTTATTTTTGTTTTAAGTCCTGAAATGCCTGAATTTTTAGCACAGATGGCACAAGCCAGCACTCTGCTGCAGCCCAGCCCAGTTTCCTGCTCCTTGCTGGAGAAACTAGGCAAATCTTCCAACATTTTTTGGACCACAAGAGGTGTGTGCTCTGGGCTTCTGCCCAGCTGGAGCCATGGTACCACCATAGCCACCTCCTGCTCCACAGTCAGGAGAAACAAGCTACAACACAGAAACATGGATATAAGCAGGATGCACGTGGCAGGGAGGGGACACAAGTGTTGGCAAAGAAGGGACGATGCCACCGGCATCCCCGTGGCCATTCCTGGTGCACACCTCCAGCACCTCTGCCCTCTCCCACTGCCCCTGGCCAGGGGACTTCAGCTGCCACCCCTCAGGGCAGGTAAATCACTCACACCCTGCTGGCCTGCAGCTTGCCAGGAAGGAGATCACGTGGGAATGGAGGAAGCAGGAATGGCAGTGCTTGCACGCGTGTTCTTGGAAACCCAGGGGCCTCATCTGTATTTTTCCAGCCCCCAGTAAATCAAAGCCCTTAAGCTGTTGCTGCTAATTTTGGCAGGAGTTGGGACACCAGCCATGCACTGGGGCTTTGCTAATGGACAAAGGGCCTGATTGAGCATCTTCCAGTGCATCACCCAATGCCCACCTCGGAGCTGGAATCCTGACACTTTCACAAACTTGGGCAGCAGCGGAGGGGAGCTGGCCTGACTTCCAACCTGCAGCACCCAAAGAGCAGCTGGGGAGCCTTGGTACCCAGCCCTGAGCTCGCCAGCAGCTGACTGCCCAAGCAGCTCAGCCACAGCTCCACCCTGAAGGAGAGCAGAGGGCACAAAATGCCTGCAGCCACCCCAGGACATGGCATCAGGCTGATGTGTGAACAGAGGTGAGATGGCTCAGTGTCCCTGTCCCCTCACAGCACGTCTGCCCTGGCTCAACCATGCCCCTGTGAACGAGGCAGACCTGGAAAAAGGCCCCGGGGAGCACAGGAACCAGCGGGAAGAAGAGAGCTGGAAAATGTCCCCAGGGTCTGGCAGCAGCAGAGGCAGGGAGAACAGCGGGGAGCCATGCCCAACAGCCAGGCCATGCCCAGCTGCACGGGTCAGTTTATGCCATACTGTGTCCCAGGATGCCCATCCAGGCTGAGCACATCCATACTCTGCTAAGCTGTGCCTTGCTAAGCTCCAGCCCAGGCTGTGCCAAGCCTTGCCACGCCAAGCTGGGTCCATGCTAGCCTTGGTCGTGCTGCACCCAATGTGCCGTGCCAGGGCAAGCCATGCCCGGCTGGATCATGCTGGCTAACCTGGCCCACGCTGTGCCAAAGGCTGCCCTGTGCCAAGCCGTGCCATGGAACACTGAGCTGAGCGGTGCCCAGCATGCCACACCACGCTGGACCATGCCCAGCTGGGCCATGCTGTGCCAAGCTGAGCTCTGCCCTAGGTTCAGCGTGGCCATGGCAGGCTTAGACAAGCCAGGCCCTACATCCAGTCATGCTACGCTGTGCCAAGTCAAGCCCAGCCACAGCACGGCAGGCCAGCATTCCCTGGCTGTGCCATGCTCAGGGATGCCATGCTGGGCTGAGCCATGCCATGCTGTGCTGTGCTGCTCGTCTGAGCCAGGCCAGGCTGAGCTGTGCCCTGTGCCCAGCCATGCCCTGGGATGCTGAACTGCACCAAGCTGGACCTGAGGATGCTCTGCCACACGGAGCTACACCTTGGGATGCAGTGCCATGCCACGTCATGCCATTCCCAGGGATGCTGTGTCATGCTGAGCCATGCTTTGGCATGCCATGCCGTGCTGTGCCATGCCATTGCCAGGGAAGCTGTGCCATGCTGCACAGTGCACAGGGATGCCATGCTGTGATAACCACGGATGCTCTATTGTGCTCAGGGATGCTAAGCCATGCTGACCCCTGCCCTGGGATTCCACGCCATGCTATGCTAAGTCCAGGGATGCTGCACCATGCTGAGCCATGCCCTCAGATGCCCTGCAAAGCTCTGGGACGTTAAACCACATTATAGCCAGGGATGCTGACCCTGACTGACCCGTGCCCTGGGATGCCAAGCTGTACCACTACTGCCCGGATACCATGCCACACCGAGCCGTGACAGGGAGGTCACTGCACACCGAGCCGTGACAGGGATGTCACTCCACACCGAGCCGTGACAGGGAGGTCACTGCACACCGAGCCGTGACAGGGATGCCACGCCACGCCGTGCCCACCTTGAGATAGTCGTTCTCGGAGCGCAAGTCTTCCAGCTCGCGGAGCAGCCCGTCGGTGCCGGCGTCCAGCAGCTCCTCGGTGAGGTCGGAGAAGGCGAGCGAGGTGCTGAGCTGCAGGCGGCTGCTGGCCATGGAGGCGGCCGAGGGCTCCTCGGGCAGCGGCGACGCCTCTCCGGCCGAGGGCGGCGGCGGCGGGGCGCTGCCCGGGGACTCGCCATCGCTGCCGCTCAGCCCCAGCTCCAGCGACAGCAGCTTCGCCTCCTCCGAGGCGCTGCAGTCCGACACCTCCGAGCTGCTGTCGGTCAGTCCGGACCCCGGCCCGGGCCCGGGCACCGAGCGGGGTCCCGACCCGCTCCTTCTCGCCCCGGGGGCCGCCGTCTCGGCTCCGTGCCGCCGGCCCTTCGGCCGCGCCGCGCCGCGCCCCG